CCACTGACTAGGTCACCAGGCTTGAGTTCTATCCACAAATCCCCTCCGTTAGGCGGGAGCTTCAAAGGGAGGACTACATTTGTGGATCTCTGCAGGTTGTGGTGGTCGGCGTGCACGGGTTGAACAGTGGATTTAGACAACCAAAGCGAGGTGTACTCAGATGTGGGTGCAACTGCGGAAAGCACCATATTCATAAGCTCTGTCAGCCAAGGCTTATCTGTGGTACCCCCTAAAGCTCCTACGACACCTCTGTGACGGTACAACCCAGCTTTGTGTTGCAGCTGGGGCGCTGCTCTGCACACTTCGGCTAACACCCACAACGCTTCATCAAGGTCCCAGTCGTCCTCGATAAGCTCCGTAGCCAAACCTTCAAGGTCTTGCAGACTCAAGCGCGCTACACGGGCAGACTCCTCCTCAACCGGTGGCACAGGCCCTTCCGGGTGTGGAGCTTCTGCTGGCGGCGGCAAGGGAGGCGGCGGGTCAAGTGCAAAGACGTCGTCAAGTCTCACACCAGCAGACCGCTTGCCGCGAACCCTGCGTGGAGTTGGGGTGTGCTCCTCCTCAAGCGAGTCAGTTCCGGAGAAACAAGGCGGGTGCGAACATGGACTGTTTGCACAAAGCCGTTGCCAACACCATCGCTGCGCAACACGATGTGACCATCATTCACAGATGGTGACAACCCCATATACTTACCTTCAACCCATCTTCTTGCTAAAAAACTTTCGCTTCACGGAACACTTCCCTCCAAAGTGGATGGCAAGCTTGGACTTCATGCCCAGCTGTTGCGCCCGTTGCTGAGCCGCAGCTGTCATGATTGCACAAGGCCACAAGGACGAGTCAACCTCGCCAGAGGTGAGAAGTGTTCGCGCTCGTGCTTTGAGCCAACGCACGGTGTTCTCGGCAGAACCGTTTTGCTGCGGCACGTCCCCTTCTGTCGTTGTTGTGCGAACTCCACGCTCGTGAAACCAAGCTCGAGTCCTTTTGTTGAAGAACTCACGACTGCGGTCTGTGTGGAAACGAAGCACGGGGAGGTTTAGGGACCTTAGGGAAATGTACACCTGTTGGAGAGCATTTAGGATATCATCACCCTTGTTTGTGTGAAGTGGCACTGCAAACACCAGCCTCGCCATGTCAGGCGGTGGCGGTGTTTCGAGTTCACACCTGGCTGACTCCCAGGGATGCTCCTCGGCAACTTTGGCTGCGAACTCTCTAGGCCCTTCAACTCCTTCGTCTTCCGCCTCCTCCTCATCCTCCTCCTCCTCCTCTAAACTTGGCTCGTACAGGGAGTCCTCGTAATCCTCGCGCGGGGAGCCTTCTGCTACCGGAAAGGCCTCATCTGCAAGGTCATCCGTCCCTCCCGGGAGGAGTGCTGCATCATCAAACCCCTCGGTTTGGACTCCTCCGTCACTCCTTTGAGCCGCGGGAAGCGGTACGACACAGCGAGGAAGTACTTGAACGTGGCTGGTCGGTGGTTGCGGCTTTCTGGGTCTTTGCCCTTCACACGGATGGGCCCCGCAATGTCGGCTGACATGCAATAAACAACCTGTCATGAAGCCAAGGCCTGCAGTGGGGCGGTAACGATGTTTCGAAACAAGGTATCCTTGCATGTGGCGAGAGTCCGCAGGAGGCGATGTAGTTGTTCAAACTGAGACGCGCGCCCTGCCCCCGCCGTAGTATGGGGGCTGGCCTTCCAGATGTGTGTGCAATGAGGAACATGCGAACTGGACTCGACCCGTTTAGCAAATGAGCATTGCAGCTGCAGCATGAAGGTGCTGGGAATCGAGGACAGCCTAATTGTAACATGCATGTCGGTTACACGGCCGACCTTTGTGCTTCTACGGCACAGTTCCAGTTCGGCCAATTTCAGAGACCACTTCAGACATGCTGGCTCCTTCAAGGTGGCAACACGTACAATCCGTGCGAAGCGACGAACGTGCCTTAAGCATGTCACTGCCTGAGACAAATCCGGCCTTCCATCATCTCAAAGAGAAGCACCTGACACCACGAGTGAAGCATCGAAACGCAAGGTGATCTAATCAACAGGCTACTGCGGCTACTCTGCGGCTACTCCGAGTACTCGGCGCCGAGGCCGTACAGGTCCACATTCCGCCCGTGACCGGAACGGGTCAAGATTTCGGGGGCAAGGTACCTCCCAGATGTGAATGCCGAGGGAACTACCCGACTGCCGACTGCCGAGCTCGAAGCTCTGTGCCAAGGCACGCAACGGAGCCACAGAAAGACTTGGTGGGCGCATCTAATGCTTCTTCTAAGTAGGCTTCTTCGCAGCCGGGGCACCATTAAAGGCGCTAAATAAATCCTGGTGAAATCCTTCGCTGAACATGTGATAAAGTGGGTCCTCAGGTGGCTCAAGCATGCCAAGCTTTTTGTAGCCTTTTCTAGCCTTGCCTAGCTTTTCAATGGAATTCCTTAGCCGGGCCCCCGGCCCAAAATCAGGAAAGATCTAGCTTTTTCTAGCTTTATCTAGCTTTGTCTAGCTTTATCTAGCTTTTTCTCGCTTTTTCTAGTGGATTGGAAAACGCACTGCATGCCACATAATTCCAGGAAAAATCCACCGCTCAACTAACTGTTAACCCTAAAGCACCAAACAGAACCTTCAATCATACATCCGAAATCCGCCACCCTGAACCCTTTATCTTCATCCCAAAACCCTCGCCACTATCTCCAAACCCTGAACTCCTGAACCCAAAGCCACAGGTCCAATCGAGACGTCATTGCAGGAAATGATTTGTCTTTTTTAGCTATTTATAGCTTTTTATAGCTTTTCTTAGCCTTTACAAGCTTTGCCTATGTTTTTGACATGTTCCATGGTTTTCTTGTACTTTTCCTGCAATGCTGAAGCGGCCCGCTTTGAAGCGACATGTGATGTGCTCCTATGATTTTAGGCGCAGAGCTTGACCGCATGACCGCAAGGTGTTGACACACGGCAATGCTGCTGCAAAGAAGCCCTGCCGTAGGCCGAAGTCGCTCAGCAATGTGCTTGGCGTGCTCCAAGCTCCGTGGGAAAAGAGATCACATGGCATTTTATCTAATCTTCGAACCTAAGAAGAAACTCTATGAACCTTTGCCGGGCTAGCGAAGCGGAACCAGCGGCCGTACAGGTCGCTCTGAACGTGCCGCGCAGGCTATCACCTTGCACATCCAGAGCATGAGGAATGCAAAGACACGCCAGCTGCAGCTAGGACAAAGCTCTCGGCCATCTTCGTGATTGCCTCGCAACCCACCTGACACTGCGGCTCAGTGGCCAGCTTTCTGTAGCTACTGCACCGTGCCTTTGGGTGCTTGGCAAGCTGCTGCACCAACTTGTCTGATGCAACACCCACCTGCACGATGTGGAGTTCTGCAGTTCTGCCAATCTTTCTGACGCAATGCGGCACGAGAATGCGGCCCGGCCTTGACGTCCCCCACCAAGCCCGAGAGCGCTGGTCGCTCCATCAGCGTCGGAACAATCTTTGCCAAGGCCATGTTCAGGTCTGGCAGCTTGGGTGGCAACTGCAACGCAAAACAAAGCATGGTACTATTAGAATCTGTTATAGCGTATTACTATGGTCCAATTATTTAACATGGTATACTATAGTCTATTGTGGTATAGTATACAGCAACAGCACTGGTTAAGAAATCATTGGTTTAAGAAGTTGAGCCCCTCGGACAGCCGTGCAATAAAGATATATGTACAAAAAATGCATGCGCACATTCAATATAAGAACTCCAGAGTACCCTGGACTCGGCGTGCCAATTTCTCATTGTGCTCTTTCTCATTTTGTCTTCGCTGGTGTTGTTCGCGCAACAAAAACCAAGAAACTAAGAGAGTAGATTTCGTGTTCCAATAGCTCGGCGCCAAACCCTTACAAAGGAGCCAAGAAATGAGAGCACAGGAGGATTCGAACCCGCAGCACGTCCCAATCCAGCTCATGTGCTTATCCACTCGGGCATGGCAGCCTGCAGACTCCTGAAACGCCACAATATCGATCCCCTTCTGTACCCAGCTTGTAATCAGCCCTTACCAGAACCCTGCAAAATAAGAACTCGAGCCCCCCAATCTCTTACAGTTAAGAAATCGAGCCCCTCAACTTCTTGTTTTGGTGGTGTTCGTTCCTATATGCAAAGCTTGAATTAAGCCCTTATTAAGCCCCTGCAAAGCCGTTAGAGCCCTCCAAAGCTGTTATTAAGGCCTTATTAAGCCCTTAAGGGCTTCATAAGGGCTTAAATAAGGCTTTGCCATATAGGAAAAAAACCAAAATAAGAAATTGAGAGGCTCGTTTTCTTAAATTTACCGAGGGGCTCGATTTCTTCTTTTGGGGGGGTTCTGGGCTTGCCCAATAGGGGCTTAATAAGGCCTGAAAAACAGTATTGGGAGGCGCTGGAGGCTTTGTAAGGGCTTAATTAAGGCTTTGCCATGTAGGAAAAACCACCAAAAGAAGAAATTGAGGGGCTCGTTTTCTTAATTTAGGAAAACGAGGCAACAACAACAACAACAACAATAACAACAACAGAACAAAACACAAAAAAACAACCTGAAAAAGTTTTCACTTTAAGATGCTCGAGCAGTGTGTTGCGAAAATGCCACGCCAGCCAGTGTTTTCTACACATTGGTCTTCAAAGTCATGGAAAAAACGACACTTTTGACTAGTGGCTCCACACACTTCCAAACAGAAATGCGCAAAAACGCCGAAAAAACAGCATTTCCAGAAACACAGTGCAAACCCTCAATGCGCTGTCGCCGCGCGGTCGCGGTTGACGCCGCAACCATGTTTTGAGCCAGATCAGATGGTGTATCAGTGAATGGCTTTGACGGCACATGTTCTCAGCCAGGTTGGGGACTGACTGAAGGAAATCATTGACATGCTACACATGTACACAGGAAAGACGGTTTGGCTTTTCGCGTGGGCATAGACACTGCTTCAGCTGGTTACGGAGCCTCGTAGAATTCCTTCGCGACCGGGGAATTTGCACGGACGCTAGTCCGGTGTGTTATCAGTGAGGTCTTCGGAGGAAGACGGAGGGGAAGCTCCTTGAGAAGCAGGCCCTGCTGCTTTGACTCAGATGCCACTCATATGGCGACTGGCATGATGTAGGCCATGGCGAAGTCACATGTTCAAGTTGATGGCGATCTAGGTGCAGGCAGGCCAAACGACAGCAAGCCGTCGGTCTGCCCCCATCATCCGTTTGGAGCAAATCCGTCCCAAACATGCAGTGGTTCACACTCGCTCAGAGCTGGCGTTGAACTGGCTTCTTTGATGTTTTCACGTGGTTTTCCGCAGCTTTGCAAGGAGATTGGCTGAAGTCATTTCGGGCATGTCAAGTTATCGGGAAACGGTCGTCGCAGGAGAGGTTGAAGAGCCCTTGCAGGAGGACCCAAGCACCTTTTTTTCTTGAAGCCTTGTGGCCAGAACAGTGTGCCAGATTGTACCTTGTCAGGAGCTTGCCTCTGTCCATCTGGAAATGCCTGAGCACTTGGCTGAGTTTTCGGGAGATTCAGGTAGATGTCGCGTCTCGTGACTGCACCACGCTTTGCTGTGGCTTGAGGTTCCCAGAGCAGACTGAAGATCCACCTCCTCTCTGAGCAACCGTTTCACTGGTGTGGCCAAAAAGGTCATCTGATGCAAGGGGTGGAGAAAAGGCGGGTGCTGACTGCAGACGTCTCGATGGCATCCGCCGCGCTTTCCAAGCGCAAAGGGGCGTCGATTATGATTGGTGGCAGGCTTTGTGAGCGCCTCCAGTGCTTCACGGATGGGAGGGCCGTCTTCGGGCAGCTTTCTTGCCAGACCGATTTAGCTATGTACTGAATGCGCTGATCCTATACTACGATGCTACAAGCCTGCTACTATCTGCTGCTCTTTTCCTCAAGTCCTTAATTGGGTCCACCACCTCCCCGCGAGAAGAAAATCGGACAAGAGTTCATCACTGCAACGGAAGAAGCATCAACAAACCTGAGAGCCTTGGGTTCTTCCTCCCCTGCTCTTGCTCTTGCTTGTCCTTCAGTTCTAGGGTCTACTATGACCTGTGCCAACCTGCCCTCTGTCTTCCTTTCTCCGAGTTTGCTTGGCTTCTGTTTGTCGCTCCGCTGCTCAGCCCTCGGGATCTTTTTGGCGCCCCTCGAATAGTGACATGCTTGCGGGCAGCGCTTTTGCATGCAAATCACAATCCATCTTTTACAACATAGGCACATTCGCGTTGGGATCTCTGTGGAATTGGCCTTTCAGCACATTTGAAGTGTCGATTCCCGTTTGTCCTGGCCTCGGAAAGGTCTTTGTTCCAAAAGACAGGACCATACAATCAAGATCAATCAAGATTGGGTTGCAGGTTGGATAGAGATGCCTCGAAAGCCTTCCAGCAAGTTTTGTAGCAACAGAATTGAAGGCTGGCAGACGTGACGGCTCGGAGTCGTGCGGTTGAAAGCGTGGTCGACAAAACGATTGAAGCACGCACTGATAGAGGGCATTGTCCAGCCCCCAAAACAATGCTGTAGGCGATTCGCTCGCAGTATTCCACAATGCAGGATGACCAACAAAGCAGTGCAGACAGTCTTGCCGACAGACTTGTCACTTCATCGAGCATAATTCTGGTACTCTTCGCCTCATGCCGGGCATCCGGGCACATGATTGGAGAGGCGGATTTCGCGAGGAACGTGTGAAGCTTTCGCGGAAGAGAGCCAGGAAGACTATGATCATCTCTACAAGCTAGTACTGGTTGGAGCTGTGGCCTTGGATATCACTCTTTTTCTGTGCGTTCTTTTGCAAGTTTGGAACGGACTAGAGGACGCGACGGTCGGGAAGACCCACATATTGCCCATATCTCAGAATTCCACAACCTGACAGATTGGCATGCCGTTTTGGACGAAGTCGAAGGTCGCGATACATCAAAGGCACGTTGCCCAAAGCGCATCGGGCCAAGGGCGGAGAAAAGGACTCGGAGGTGCAGAAGCCTCAGAGCGGCGCTCAGCTTCTGAGGCCAACGGCCACGATCGGCGTGGAGTTTGCGACAAGGACGGTCAGTCTGGATGCAGGCTGTGAGATCCCCGGCTCCCGTCAGGCTCTCCCTCGTCCCCCACCCTGACGCTGATAGTGCTCTGCACCCAAGGCGCAGTGAAAGCCCAGATCTGGGACACGGCTGGACAAGAGAGGTGCGCTGTGCTTTATGCGGGGCAACGACGAGACAAATTAGAAAGCGGGAAATCGGGACATTCGGAAGGTATCGTGCGATCACGAGCGCTCACTACAGACGAGCGGTTGGCGCCGCTCTTGCATGTTTTGCGGGCAGCTAGGGGAGTCTTTGGCTCTGTGTGATCCAAAGAAATACTAAGCTGCTGTTATCAGTATCTGCTGTCACTGTCGGTGCACCGGACGCAGAGTCTTCCGACGTGTGCTCAAACCGGACCGGAAATCCTGGCTCGCCTGGCACTTGCAAGCGCACAGCAGCACAGTATGGCCTGTCAGTGAGTACATCTTGGCCCTCGGGGCGTTATCTGCTTGTGCCCTTGTGGAACAACCAGATTAAAGATACTTGGATGAGGGTCCACTTTGAGGGGCCTTTGGTGGGCCTTTTGACGGTTGAAAGCCAGGCACTGCTCGTGTACGACATCACGAAACCAGCAACGTTCAAAAGCTGCTCGTGCCCGAGCTTTGGCTTTGGAGTGGCGCTTCGCATGGCCGCTTGTTGCTTAGGTGAGCGGTGGATGGAAGAGTTGCGATCCAACGCCGCTCCGAGCAAAACTGGGTGGATCTGGCTGTTGGCTGCACTGCGGAACTGAGGCCGAACCGGACATCGTGATCATGCTGGTTGGAAACAAGGCGGGAGCTCTGAGGTCGAAGTTAAGGTCATTTCTTGCCTTTGCCTGCACAGGTAGACCTGGCAGAAAAGAACCCAGGCGACCGCCAGGTTCAAGCCCCAGTTCCACTTGGCGCAGCCCTTCACGCATGGGCAGCACGCCGTGGGCTAGGTCGATTTCGACGCAGCTGCAGACTTTGCAGCGCAGCAGGGGCTTCTCTTCGAAGAGGCTTCAACTGAGCTTGTGACTGCCCGTCCCTGTGCCCATGTGAAGTCTCCAAATGAGCCTGACAGCAGTCGACCTGAATTCTGTGAAGGCGAGCGCTGTGACTGGCGCGAATATCAAGCTCTGCTTCGAGAAGCTTCTGAAAGCCGGGATTTCAGACACTACGACACTACGAGCCACTGTACCAACTGTAGTTGTGTGCTGCCAAACATGTCTGAGATTTGATCCCAGCAACACGCCCTCCCACTCGGCACAATCCAAGCTCGATGTCGGTATTTGTGGGCTACAGCTCTTTGTCCCAACGTCTCCCAACAGAAGTTGGTCAAATGACATAAACTGCAGCTGCGATGCGGCATGCAATGTAAGCAAACCCAGGTAATTTTCGTCGCGTTCGTTGCCTCTTGTGCGGTGCTTGTCGACATTTTTTGGCCGAGCAAAGATGCATGTGTATGCCGTCGTCAGGAGGTAGGAATCGGAAATTTATGTGCAGGATTCGTTGCAGCTCTCGTGCATCAAGCCCTGTATAGCACGTTGCGAGCGACGTTGAAGATACCGCATGCCGCAGGCTCGCAGTTGTCGATCCTCACTTCCCAGGTCATCCCTTGACATATAGCTTCCCTTTCCTTCCCTGCACGGAGGCAGTGCTGGTGACTTCATGTCGTTCATGGATCCACCAAAATCCCAAGAAGCTGCTCCTCTGAGGAGATTTACAACACGACGCAGCATCGAAGAGATCGCGAGGCTGTAGTGGATTCACGAAGTGGCGTCCTTCGCGGAGTTGAGAAAGAAAGGATGATCCGACGAACAACCTCCATCTGCAGGGCTTGCAGGGCTTGGCGCTGAGATTCGGCCAGTCCGAAGTCTGAGTCGGAGACTTGAAACGCTCTTGACCTGGTTGCGACTCTCTAGCCGCTAGCCTAGTCTGAAACCACGCAAAGCACCGACCTCCGGGCCCGATGGTTTTCAAGATTTTTTTGTTCCGACGGTTCTTTTGATGTTCTCTGTGTGTGTGCGTGTGTGTTTTGCAAAAGTTTCTTGAACAGCCCTGCAAGATCAGGTCGATCCAGCCAGACTGAGTGTGTACGGCAGCCCAGCTTCTCTGTGCGTCTCTTCCGTTCGAACTCTGCAGCAGCACAAGTTGACTGACGGACGGGTTTGAGATGAGGCGTGTTGAGATGCGAGTGTTTCCAACGACTCGCTCGTGAATCCAGAAAAGATGTTGCTTTGAGAATGTGCATTTCGAAGCTTGCCAAGCTAGCACAGATGCCTCGGCATGCGTGGAAGTGGAATGAATGAAAATCTCGGGTGTCCGTCCGATGCAGCATTTTGCTGACGAAAGAAGTCCGCACACCAGTTTCAGATCCGAACCATCACCGGCGCCTCAGCTGGATAGCGCCGACACTATGAAAACCCTGGTCCGAATTCAATCGCTGAGGTATGACCCGACTGCCGTGGCTTGGTCTCCTTGCGACGGCTCTGGCTCAGAAGCCAGGGACCCAAGTCGTCGAGTCCCATCCGGACCGCTGGGCTCTGGGCTGGGATAACGGACCATGTTGTGCGTGTGAAGTAAAACCTACCAGTGGAGGAGCTGCCCCTGTGGACCTGCGATGCCTCGGGCTGTGTCAAGGAAATGAAGACAGCCGTACCGAGGTTCAACACAGTGCCTGCCTGCTTCTGCTGTATCTTGCGTCATCTTGCGTCGGCCATTAGCTAATTACATCAGACATCGTCGTTGATTTGCCACCTCCGTTTTTTCCTCAGGTGCTGGATGCAAACTGGCGATGGCTCCACAATGGCCAGTACAAGCAGCTCCAGCTGCACGTTTTTGAACCAGTGAACGAGAGCCGTCGTCAACACACAAACTTAAGTCAAGCTCGACGATTTGGGAAGTCGGATGTGGCTCGGAGACGAAGAGGATAAAGTCGAGGTAGTTGTCAGCTTAGTCGAGATCTGGATATGCCTTGTGTATTTCGGACGAGACCAGAGGCATACAATAGTCCATCCGGTGGTCGAGATGTAGGGGCGCGGGCGCGCACAATGTGTGTGTGTGTGTGGCTTGCAGAACTGAGGAATTGTTACAAGGATGGCGACTGGGACAAGGACTTGTGTCCAGACCCTGAGACCTGTGCAAGCAACTGTTATCTTGAGGGCATCTCCGAGGACCACCAGCAGCCAGTCCAAAGTTTCAGTTGACAGCCAGTCCTTGGTGGGGGAGGATAGCGTGACAGCCTTGCGCAGGACCAGTACGGAAAAGCCTATGGAGTCACGAGGATCGACGAAGGCATGAAATTAAACTTCGTTACGAAGACCCGGTATGGCTCTAATTTCGGGAGCCGCATCTACATGCTCGATGATTCCGACAACTACAAGATTTTCAAGCTGAAGAACAGAGACCCTTGCCACAATCTGCTGTGTCGATGGATGGTTTGATATGGCTCGTGCTTCGGAAAAGCACTTGAGCCCCAACACCCTGGAGAGTAAGTGAGTAGATCCCCAAACTGCGAAAGACCGACCATTACGACGACGAGCACCGCGACCACCACCAAGACGACCAGGAGCAACAGGACGAGCACGATAAGCACCACGACGACTCCGGGACCACGAGGACCACCGCGGCAACCACGAAGATCCTGACCACACCCACCACCACTACCACCACCACCACCACCACCACCACCACCACCACCACCGACACCGCCACCGCCACCGCCACCGCCACCGCCACCGCCACCAGCACCACCAGCAGGAAGCTGGAGCCAGAACGGAACCCCAGTTTCGGCACAGAGGAGTCCGAGAGTCCTGCTTGAGTTTTTAGGCATTTGGAGCGTCGTGATGACACCAAACGTGCTGCACTCTGACGCACATACGATTCTTGCGCGCACACATGTAGCTCTGTGGTGGTGGGAGGAGTTCCACCACAGAATGTGCTATCAGTGGTCGCAAGATGTCGCAAGGGAGGCAGAGCATGACTCACTGCCAAAACGGCTACCGCACTGTGGCGGTAGCACGAGTTTCGGGGGTGGAAAAGCTGGCGAAGGCCACGAAGTGCCAAGGAGCCTTACAGTGTAGGCTGGCTATGGCTGGGTAGCATGTTCATGCCAGAGCATGCGGCAAGTTGTGTGCTTTGTGGTTGTTCAGGTTGGCACATTCCGGTACTGTGCTGTAGAGTTTTCCGTTTCCGCTTGATCAGGAATTCTCGCTGACAGTGGATATGTTCTACATGCCCTGCGGTCTGAATGGGGCTGTCTACTTCGTTGAAATGGAGCGTGATGGTGGTGTCTCACGCAGCGGCGGGTCGAATCGTGCCGGAGCCAAGTATGGGACTGGCTACTGCGACGCACAGTGCCCTCATGACATCAAGTTCATGAATGGCCGGGCCAACGTGCTTAACTGGAATGCCAGCCACGACCCGCCCATTGGGCAATGGGGCAGCTGTTGCCAAGAGATGGACATCTGGGAGGCTAATAGCCGGGCCACTGCTTACACTCCGCACCCATGTTCCATTGAAGGCCAGTTTGTCTGCGATGGTCTTGACTGTGGTGACACTAGTAAAGGCCAGAGGTACGATGGTGTTTGCGACAAGGACGGCTGTGACTTCAACTCCTGGCGTCTCGGAGTGCGGAACTTCTACGGTCGAGGTCACACCTTTGACATCAACTCACGCAAGCCGGTCACTGTGGTGACTCAGTTTATCACAGAAGGAAATGTGGACGATGGAGCCTTGGTTGATATCCGACGATTCTACGTGCAGGACGGGCAGGTCATCCCGAACTCGAACGTATCTGTCGCTGGCTTATCTGGCAACTCCATTTCAGATAAGCTCTGTGCAAAGATGAAAAAGACCTTTGGCGATATCGACGACTTCAATCGTAAAGGGGGCCTTAAGACAATGGGGGATGCATTGAATCGAGGCATGGTGCTGGTTCTGTCTCTCTGGGATGACTCCGAGGCGAACATGTTGTGGCTGGACTCTGATTATCCTTTGGACAGGAAGTCCTCTGCTCCAGGAGTAAGTCGTGGTCCTTGTCGAACAGACACGGGCAGTCCGGCATATGTGCGTGAAAAGTATCCGACAGCCCGAGTTGCTTTCACCAAGATCAAGTTCGGTGCTATCGGCACGACTTTCGGCCATGAAGGGGATGAGGATGGCTTGTGGGGTGACGACAGGCGGCTTCGCAGTTGGCCTGGAGATGTGCATGTTTAATGAGTTCCGCAAGATGTCTTCTCCAGAGCATTCGAGAAGCAGTTGGGTTCAGGGCCGCTTCTGCCTAGTTCTAGTACAGAGATGCCAAGGTGACGTGCCTTTTTCCGGACCCAGCTGTATGCGAAATTTAGTGATTGATAGTGTTTCTTGAAATGTCCAGAAATCAGGCCCCTTTTGAATGGGACTTCAAGCCTTTGCTGTGGCCGCCCACAGTGCACAGGAGCGCATGGAGCGCTGGCGCTCCAGCGCTGTTCCGGAAGGGACACCAAGGTACAGGCAGCCTAGAGTCAGGTCTGCGACGAGCGGACGACGGGACCATTGCGCTGCAGCAAAAATGGCTTGGGCCCTGTCTGAGCCGCGGAAGAGACTTTGTACAAAGTGTGCGGCGCGGCTGCCTCTTCTTTCGCGGAGAGTTCTTGTTGGGAGCATTGTTGTCTACAAAGACTGGCGATTTTGTTTCAGGAATGATTCGGAATGATCCTATCCCTTGGACTGCACCGCCTGACTTACGACCACAGTAGCCGTGCAGCACTGCAGTAAGAGGCCGGGCACAGCATGCCCTTAGCGTTTTAAAGGGGGCGTGCTCCTCATGAGCTGTGCAGCGCGATGGCTGGGCAAAGGCCCCTTGTTTGGAAAGCCCACTGTCGCTTCCGGTATGTCTCGGACCCCGCGGGACATGCGCTTCCGAGGCCGCCCGTTGAGAGACGCCTGGCCGAGAAGGCAGCAAGCGCAGAGCGCCGCGAAGCGGAGAGTGACGGGGAGGGAGCGCGCTCGGATTCGGCGGATGCGGTCGGCATCCCTGTGCGTTATTGTGCGTTTGGTCGGCTTGGCCCTTACACGTAGGTGGACTTTCTGCTGCTGAACGTCGAGGAGGCCGTCCTCGAACATCAGGCGCGGGCCGAGCGCCGTCTCGGCGAAGCACTCCATGCGGGCTCGCGTGGCTCAGCGCGCTTCGTGCTCTCAGCTCTCGCAGTGCGGCTCAGCGCAGGCCGCGCGTCTGCGGCGATGGTCTGAGAGCCAGCGCTCCGTCCTGGAGCGGGCCCTCCAGGTGGAGCAGGCCAGGCGCGGAGTGCACCCCGAACGCGCCGCGCGCATTCAAGGTTGCACTCACTCTGCAAGGCCGCCGCCACGAAGAGCGAGTCCCTCGCCTCCACGGTCATGGACCACCTGCACAC